TTTAGTCGGTAACCGATGAACATGTCAAAGCAAGTTTGGGACGATAAAAACTAACTTTTGGTGGCCCTGTTATGAATGGTTTGGTCTGGTCTGGTTTAATATTTTGTTTGGAGTTTTCCACAGGACCCTGCAAGGCTATTAGTAATTTTTTAACAGTTATCAGTTTTTTAATGTATCCAGTGTTTATAAAGGTTCAAACAGTTGGTACTGTTTGAGTTTTTAGATTTTAATAACTTTAAAATTATTGATTTGTTTTCAAAGAATTTAATCAATTTAATTGAGGTGTTTGTACTTTAAGGATGTGCCTATTAAGACGATTGTAAAACTTAACTGTTTTAGATCCTGAGTATAACGCTAGTTTCTGTAACTGTCCGTACTTAAAATTACAATGAAATTAAATACTAAGATTCACATTGATAGAAAAAGAAGACAATAACTGCCTAAATTGTGATACGTTAGGCATTTCCATCTTACTCGTTTGTTTCAGCCGAATGACGTCCACTGCTGGACAAAGGCCTCCCCCAAGGATTTCCACAAAGACCTCCATCTCACTCAGTCATATTGAAATTCCAGAGAATGTAATAAAAGTCTATAAAATGGTACGGAACTACGGAAGTTACTTATAGCAATAGCGCCCCAGTTATTTAAATATCACTTGTTCAAATCAATTCGATACAAAATCTCGATTCAAAACCGTTTTATCTGGCCCCGGTTATCTCCAAAATTGAATCCTCCGATTCCGAATGCAAAGTAAGTTTCGATCTGCGACATTTTGTATAATAATAGATTAGTATACTATAGTATAGTGTGTAAATGTGGGAACTATTTTCACCCTTTTGCTTTTGTTTGATATTACTTTTATTCGAATGGAAATATTTTTGTGTGAAGACACTCCGTTCAGTTACTTTCCCGCACAATCCCGGGATGTTATTATTTTGTCACTCAGTTCCAAACTGAGAGCTAGATTTTTACATCTAAAACGGTATTTTTGTTTGATCAAATCTCACAATCGATCATCCACAATAATGGAGTTCAATTTCGGTATTTTTTCTTTTACCCTCTATCATGACTTTGTGGTATTCAAATGACAAGGAAAGATAAAAAGAAATTAGTAAGACAAAAACAATTAGGCAGAGTTGCACCACCTAAATTTAACCGTAATAACTATAACAATAATCGGTGTTTTTTTTATGTAGTTAGACAAATTTTTGACGTTTGTTAAAGTTAAAGTAATATGGTGAAACTCAGCCTTAGTTAATTAAATTATAATATTAATAATCGAACTTAACAAATAAATTGATAATAATATCTATTTAGTAGGCTTAGCTCGACAGAACTACGCGAAATCATATCATAAATCAATGTGGATTTCAGTAACAATTTATTATAATCTTCATAATACCGCGTCCAAATTATTGTGAGCTGCAAATAACACATTCCCAAATAAATTAGCGATATCGCAGTAAATTTGCTACGCAAAGTCCTTTTACCGTTCGTAATGCAATATTTCAGGCACAATGCCTCAGCAATAACACCGTTACTACTAATATTGTTACTGCATAATTGAATACGCGCGGTGTATTGGCTCGGTACAGCGCCATCTGTGGGCCGAACAAAGGACCATTTGCGAGATTCATATGATTTGAATATCATGTTATTTCGTACGAGTCCTTCGTAAAGCTATATTTTATGGAAATTTGTACACGTGGGTTTAATTCATTTAATTGCTTGTTTGGAATATAGGTAAGCACCTTATTATTAATTCAAATTACAGTTGTTTATTTACATCGCATGTAGTGAAGAAATTGTTTTGATAAAGTGCGTTATTGCACCCTACAACTGTATTAAACTATTTCAAAATAAATTAGTATTTATCATTTTGGAGGCTCGGACCGTTAAAACAGGGTATTGGTAGAAAACCACCTTGTTTTGACGCATTATTTAACGTGCAGCTACAAATACGTATGTACTGTTTACTAACCTTTGTCGTAAATGCTGTCGCTCCATCGTATTGATTTACTTTTGTCCTTAAAGGAGTACCAACAGTAGTATTTACCATCGAGAATAACAATATTATGTTTGTATGCCAAGGTTTAAGTAACGAATACAACTAACAACTAACTACACCTTTAACGGCCATTAAAACAAAGCATTTTACTCCGTTACAAGAGTTAACTGAACTTAAAGTTTTAAGAGTAGTTTATTCGGGTGAGGTCCACCTCGAGGAGTTATTGTGCAAACTTTACTCAGTATAATAAGGCGCATATTCATAAGACAAGACTCAACTTGAGCATTAAAAGCATCGCTTAGTGACAACCACAAATCGTGAAATGTGGACTCTACAATGTTCTTATTTACTTAATCCCAACTAATATTATAAATGCGAAAGTAACTCTGTCTGTCTGTCTGTCTGTCTGTCTGTCTGTCTGTCTGTTACGCTTTCCCGCTTAAACCTCGCAACCGATTTTGATGAAATTTGGCATAGAGATAGTTTGAGTCCCGGGAAAGAACATAGGATAGTTTTTATACCGGTTTTTGAAACAGGGACGCGCGCGATAAAGTTTTTCTGTGACAGACAAAATTCCACGCGGGCGAAGCCGCGGGCGGAAAGCTAGTATAATATAACAACACTTTAACAATATAGAAATATAACAACACTTTCTTCGCACTGTCAGGCCCAGAACAGACGGTGAAACGCAACTGCTACGAAACTGCAACTTTCGGATGATTCTGATGAATGAAACTGAAACTGAAAGTTTCAAACTGGTCGCGTCATGTGTGGTCTTTCAACGGACGCTATGGCAGAAACTTAGATGCAACTTAAAAGTAACTAGCAGTTGCAGTTTTGTTGCAGTTGCGTTTCACCGTCTGTTCTGGGCCTCAGTTAAAATGTACCTGTGCCTACACTAAACTTAACATCAATAACACTATCAATTCTTACGGAAAATTGACAAATGGACATGAAGTAAATAATGACGATTTGCGTGTTTTATAGAGTAGGTACTAAAAATACGGTTCACGGTACGGTTGTAATTTTTATCAAACTCTGTCACTAAGACCTAAAATTTTAAAGGTGTCCAGTATGCTTACCATGAGTTTACTGTGCTCGCTAGCGACTGCGTAAATAAATGACAGATTGTGTACAGAGCGCCCCTAGCGGCTACTTTCAAGAACTAAAATCTTCATAGCTTTTTTTGACGCACTCGCTTGCAAGCACACTAACGTTAAACTCATGGTAAGCACTCCATTGTTGAAAATAGTCAATCGCCAAAACAATGGTTTTCCAAGAAATCCATTTATAACCAAATCTTTCCAACAGAAGGGTTGGCTTACTACTCCGGGCCTGGTTTGACAGCCCTGTTAACCCCTAAGCCGCCGTGACGCGCTTCGAGCGCTCGCGCAGTAAATTCGTTACGAACTTACCGAACGCTCGGCTTACGCTGACACAGCCGGATCATAAAGCTCTAACTTGCAAAATTGTTATTATGCTAGGATGATAGACTGGTTTTAAGGTAGACAAGTGCAAGTAGCATTGATATTTTTGTCACTAAATCGTAACTCAATGAAACTACATTATGTTAGCTAAGATGATAATAAACTGCGTTTTCACGTGCATATTGATAAAATAGTCACAAGAGGCTTTAAGTTGCTGGGTTTCATACTTAGAAATTGTCGGGATTTCAGGAAAGCATCTAGCAAAATTGCTTTTTTCAACTCACTGGTTCGGTCGGGCTTAGAGTATGGTAGTGTTGTTTGGACTCCTTTTTATGAAATACATAAACTCAGAGTTGAATCAATTCTAAAGAGATTTCTTTGGCATTTGTCATATCAACATAAGTTAGCGAAACAGCTCCCAAGTTACAATACACGCCTAAATTATTTTAAACTGAATAGCTTGGAAGACCGCAGGAAAATATTGGATATTATATTCCTGTATAAAATAATAAATTGGTACATAGATTGTCCTGATCTCGCTAAACAGATAAAATTCAATGTTCCCTTCAAACTAGCTTGGTTGTCCAGGTATATGCCGTTTAAGGCAAATGGTTTTAGGACGAATATGGGTCATTTCTCCTCTATCAACAGGATTAAGTCACAATAAAATTTAGCAACCTGTCACGTTCATCCGGGGCCAGCCATGATATGTCATCTTCGCTACGTAAATTCAAAAAACAAAGGACAATGTTCATTTCTGGCCTGGCGTGGACAAGCTGCTAATGAAAATATGAATTTGCCAAAAATTTTTAATTAATTTTTAAATTATTCACTTAGTGTAACTTTGTATCAATTTGCCTTTATAAAAATCCAATATAAATAGTACTTTATGTGATAATTACAACTTCCTGTCTTTAACACTCAATTCAGTGTTGCCAAAATGAATCTTATCGGTAAGAATCGATTCATATCGATTGTTTTTCGACTATGACAAGTAGTATTTTTTTTAAATACGTATTCATTAAAATGACATTTATAAAACCTTTTTAATATTCCAATAACACTACCAAAATATTTAAATAACTAAATGAAACCTTATTTCACACACACCTTATTATACACCTTATTTCGAGTCATCAAAAATACAATCGATTTTTATATCGATTATTTTTATTCATCACCACATTATTAGCATGGCAACACTGAAAATATTGTCACAGCTGTTATCTGTCATTCGCTTTGTTTTGTATTTTTCATCGTGAGTGTTGTTTATTTCTCAAAACCAAGTCTTTGCCAAAATAAAAGCAGAAGAGTGTTGTATAAGTTTCCCTTTTGACGACTTTATTTTTTTGACCATGGTCCTCGATGCTTCCCTTCCCGATGACCCTGGCATACTCTCGAACTACGAATCTCACTCAACCAATGACCAATGACTCACTTTCGGACATCGAACCTTGCCTAAACGCCGACCACGGCTTACGTATGGACTCCGACCCGAGCCCCAATGTTAACCCCAGCCCGATTTTGGATAATGCAACCAGCAATTCCTCAATCTCATGAGGAACCTATGATATGTATCAATTGTATAGCTGACATGATGCAGAGGAGGCGACATAGCCTAGAGCTTATTAAGTTCGGTTGGTTATAACGTCAGTGGATGACTCCTCAGCTGGTAAGTTATTGAATGAGCGTGTGGACTTGTTGAATACCTTTTACAATGTATTTGATCAACTACCTTTACCGTAGATTACCATAATCCTAATAAAACCTTTTTTTTAAGAAGCACCACTAGCACTGGTCACAGTTAACGTGGATTATCTTTGTTACAAATACGTTCCATAGACTGCATATTAACACGGAAAGAGAATCACATATTCGAAAATAATGTAATAATGGAACAGATTTCACCTCATCAAGTAAGTTTTTTCATAATTATTTTCATTATATTTTATTAAAGACATTGGCACACATTATGGAGATTATGGCAAAACCCTCCACTATAGTGGAGGAGGCTCATAGTCCAGCAGTGGACTGTAAAGGGCTGATGATGATGATTGGCACACAACAGTGTATATTTTTTTCTATACAAATACGTCTTACTGATAGATAAAAATTATTGACATCATATCTCAACATCTTAAAGAATGAATTTGAATGATACCATAATTAATTTCTTTGTTTCAGCTGCGGGGATCTGACCAAATATGTCATCCCTGATGGCAGTGAGCTGATCGAGCTGCTACACATGCTGTGGAGCCCCAACAAACACATGATGGGACGAGGATTCATTTGCCCTTATATTGGCCGAATAACAGTAGGTTGCTGTGCTCATGTTATGACAATTTTGTGGTTTTTGAGCTGGGCAAGGTATCAGGAACATGTATTTCCACCTGCCTAGTTCCTATACAATATTTTGTTGACCCATGAGTCAGATTAAAATAATAATAATAATAAAAAATGGTGTTTTGTTTTGCTTCTAACCTTTCTAGTCTTAAGCAAAAAAAAATTTTTTTAAGGACTTGGATACAAAATGATATTTATATTCTGTTTCTTACTGGTATAGACTACTTAATAAATAACAAATTACATGCTGTAATGTCTGTCCACCTCAGGCCAAAGGTCCCATACTAAGTGGGCATAACCCTTTCTGAATTGTATACTCCGACAGTTAGTTAATAATTCATTGTTTTGCATTCTGCCACTTTGGCGGCGTTATTGTTATCCAACATTCTGTGCATGTCGTGGCACCTTTAATTAAGGCAACACCTTAGCTTAATTTATTTATAAGGAAACTGTGAATGTATGGTGTATGTTTTGTTGGTTGTCCTTAAATAAATAAATAAATGATTAAACAAGCTATAGATCCTGGCAACACAGGTGTTGCAGCGGTGGGAACGAGATGTGGGAAAAGTCACAAGATGATTAGTTTTATTTCCAGCCATTTGTACATTACCTCCCCAACCAGGCTAGTGTGGGGAGAGACGACCAAATCTTCCATTTGACTCTGGTAAATTAGAGAGGGTCATGTTCCTGCAGGGGAGACTAAAGGATCTGTTGATGATGAATGAAGAAAGAAAGATTCTTAGAATAGAAAGAAATAATATAGAAAGAAAGATTCAGATTTCATATTTATTGGAAAAATTGGAAAGATAGCAATTTTATTGGAAATATTTTATTACTACGTTTTATTTCTTTGATAGGTCGTCTGTGGGTGGACTATATTTAGATCGTGCCCAAATATGTAGAACCATATTTGACGCTCAATGATAACATAAATGTTATTCATCCCAACTAATATTATAAATGCGAAAGTAACTCTGTCTGTCTGTCTGTCTGTTACGCTTTCCCGCTTAAACCTCGCAACCGATTTTGATGAAATTTGGCATAGAGATAGTTTGAGTCCCGGGAAAGAACATAGGATAGTTTTTATCCCGGTTTTTGAAACAGGGACGCGCGCGATAAAGTTTTTCTGTGACAGAAAAAATTCCACGCGGGCGAAGCCGCGGGCGGAAAGCTAGTATTATAATAATAGAGTAAAACCTACTAAGTTACACAAAAGGTGTGTATGTGTGTGTAATATTTAATGTACTGTTTCTAAAAATAGCAAAACGATGAGGTTTATGATGGATGAGGCAACAAGTGGATACTCGTAATACTCCAATTAACGCAAAGGGCAAAAGGCAAAGGGATATTGAGTTTCGGAAACAAAATTGAAGGGAACATCCATGATCTTCTTGCTTATCACATAATATTTTTTGGTATGATAATTTTAAATGCGGCTCTATTTATTTATGCGTTAGACATAAACAAATTCACCTTATTATCTTATTACATTGAAGTGAAACATTCAAAGTCAAAGTCAAAGTCAAAATTTCTTTATTTGTTTAGACTAATAAATAGTTCTTACAAATCGTCATTTTGCTCTTAAGGAGCCTCTACATGTCTCATAATCTTTTTACCCTACCAGCGCTTCGAGACCAACATTTGGCAAGTGCTGAGAAGAAGCGCCGCAACAAACTCAGTCACCACTGTCTGCCGGTTAATATAAATAAATAGAAATAGCAGTAGTAGGTACATTCTATTCAGGAGCATTGAGAATTGAGGCGTGGAATTTACAATTTTTGTAGGCATTTACACCTTCGATTATGGAATAGCAGTCCATCATGACACGTTTGTAAAGCAAAAATTTATTTTGCTATTTTGAAAATACCACGCCTCAATGTTTCTAGTCGAATCAGTAGTTTCGGAGCCTATTCAATACAAACAATCAAATCTTTACTAATTAATTAATTAATGGTGTAGATATCGTGTCCTGGATAATGGTAGAGTTTTTAAAGACTCGTCACATTCATAGAAATAATAGTGAATTTAAGACACTGACAAAAGGTAGTACGAATTAAATCCATCCAAAAACATGTAGCAAAAAAACACTAAGTAAAAAAGACATTAAAGCCAAATCCACAGATCTGCTCATTTAAACGCGAGGGCATTACATTTGAAATGAAATGTTTTTCATCCGCGCGTCATTTTTCACGCGGAACAAGGAAATCGAACGTCGGCGCGCCGACGTCTGACACTTGACACCCGGGATGAATGCAAATCTGGCGGGGAACATTCGTAAACAGCATTGTGTATCCGAACCCGCGCGTACAGTCGTCAGCCTACAAATATTTGCTGTAAAATAACACTTATTACGAGGTCACAGAGATCACCTTGATACGCTGTTTGTACTGCCTTTGTTGACATTTTTATGCGAAGATTGAGATTTTCATGTGGAATAATAAAATCGGGAGTCTTTTTGTGGTTTTCATTTGCTCCGTGCAAAGATGAGAATGGAATTGGAATTGTGACGCAATATTAGGTGTTACTTGATTCTATTTCTGGTTTTCGTAGGCTCATTATACACTTTGCATATTGATGTTGTGTAATTTTAAAGAGGCCTTATTCAGGTCCCTGAATTGCCTATACAATAATTCCTTTTGAAATCGCTTACGAATTTTGCCCTGTTGTATGAAAGCAAATGTTAGCTTCACGCCCTGCTTCAAGCAAGCAACAACCGTGTGCCTGAGCGTGACCCGCCGGTTCTAGTCCGGCGCGCCGGTTTCAAGTCCGGCGGGCCGCCTCTCCGCCAGTTTGCGTAAATTTAATTTTATCTCCGCACAGCTCATAAAGCAGTGTTTATATACGCTTTTGTTCGTTTTAAAAGGGCTTGTTGAAACAACCGTGCTCGTTTTCTTCAACTGCGCTGTTAATGTGGTTTGTGTATTAAATTATATTAAAGTAGAGATTTCAGGCAAGCTTCTGAGTGAATTTCGAGTGTTTCATATTACAAATTTCGTCCTTGCTATATTGTTCAAATAAACAAATCGTTTTTCATGATGAAAGTAAGATCGACAGCACATAACACAAGAACGCAAATTATAATGTTTGTAGGTACAAAGTAGTGTGTGAGGATACAGCCTACGTTCTTGTTGTTAGTGGTTTTTGAATCGGCACCAGATAATAATTAAAATATAATGTTCGTTCGTCGAATTTTTCCAAAAGTATTTTTAAGACTAAAAATATTTACGCAAAAGTAAAACCAATGCATTGATTGAATCTGAAGTTAAAACAAAGCACTTTGACTGCACTTAGCCCTGCGTGCGCTTAAACCAAACTAGACAGGTGTCAGCCCTGATAAACACAAGCGTGAGGGTGTATTCTAAACTAGGAAGCATGCTCGTGAATTTGATGAACTCGGTTTTAAGCCCGGTTTCCACCACATCTCCACACAGCTCCACTTCGCTGGAAATAGATCGAGCGGAGAAGAGAGGAGAAAATTAAATGTCGGGCGAACTAATGCGCCGCCGACTTCTCAAAGGGGCGAACCTTTTTTTATAAAATTATACATCTTCCATGATGCTCACTGATGAGGATCGCGATCACATACATATAGTGTTCCTCCACAGACTGCGGTCATAAGCTGTAGGGATCGCATAAAATTATACAGGAGAGCAAAAATTTTTTAAAGACAGCAATAGACTGACAACTACGGCTCAGCTCACACATCTCTCGTCTCGTCTCCTCTCCGCTCTTCTCCGCTCCGCTTTGGTGGAAAATCCTGCCAGCTTCGCCGCATACCTCCACTTGTCTCCGCTCCGCTACGCCTTGGTAAAAACCGAGCCTTAAGCACGCTTTTTATAGCACACGCTTCGTACGTGTTGCGGGCGAGCATTACCGTATTTTATTTGAATTCCGCGTTTTTCCAACATTCCAGTAACCAGTACTGCGTAGTTTGCGGCGCTATACTGTTTTAAATGCTGGTGTTATTTGAAGAGCGTGCTTCAAATGGATTTAAACGGGAAGCAGTTTTTTTATTTTACATTTTCTGGATAGTTTTTGGTGTAAAACGAAAGTTAGTTTACTTTTCAATATTTTTTGCGTGAGTTGTAATGACCAGTGGTTTCCAATTAAAAAATCTTATTTGTATCAGTTATTTTTTTATAAATATACAATTTAAGTTATTTGTCGGTCTGTTACTAAAAACTCATAAAATAATGGTTTTGGAAAGCTCGATTTGAATCTACTTGCTCTATGAAAGACAGACATGTATGTGGGCGACGTCGCGACCTGTACCTCTAGTAGGAAAAACTTTCAAGTTCGTTTCGTTGCGTATTCAAAGTGTCATCGAAAAATTTTGTATGAAAAATTAAACAGCGCCCCCTATATTATAGCCGCCCTAGGGGGCGCTGTTTAATTTTTCATACAAAATTTTTCGATGACACTTTGAATACGCAACGAAACGAACTCGAAAGTTTTTCCTACTAGAGGTACTGAGGACTGTAACTTCAAAACATTCTATAAAAACGCTCGTAAATCCATATTATAATCGTACCAGTTTTCTACAGCAAAATGAAATAAAGCTTGCTAAATTAGAAAAGCCATTATAAAAAGGTAAAAGGTAGCATAACAATATTTGTGCGCAAACACAAGAATAGCAAATAAAATCGGAGAACAAATCAACTTTACTGTATTACTGCATACCATACCTCAACAAAACTTCATGTACAACTTTGAACCTTATTTCTAAGGGCTTAAGACATGTGCGTGCACCCAACTACCCATAATTCTCTTTGATATTCAATTCTCAACTTTACTGCTTTGAAATAAGAGCACTAACATGTCCGTTGGATTTTGTTTATTTTTCTCCGTTAAAAGCCTCCGAGCGCCATTTACACGGATCGATTTTTGACCCAAATTTTTATACAGAAAGACTGAACAAAAAATATTTTGAGTTGATTTGCATTGGCCCTAT